TGAAGCTACTGTGCAGGGTGTTGTATCTTTGATTTGATTCTTAGCTTGCCTGTTGTTAGCATATATGAAGACTGCCGATATGTAGACATTGATTTTATATGCTGAGGTATAGTTGCATTTTTAGATCACTTCCAGGAGTCCTGTGGTTAAGTCCTCGGGGTTTTATAAGATCATTTAACCAGTGTAGAATGATAATTTGAACTCTTCTGTTTACATTTGGATGTCCTTGACATCTTTCTCTTGTCTCTCTGCACTGGCTAGGACTTCCAGAACTGCATTAAATAGTGATGGTGGTAAAGGACATCCTAATTTGGTTTCAGTTCTAAGTGGGAGTGCTTTCAGCTTTTCTCCATTCAATAACATTTTGGCTGTGGGTTTGGCATAGATGGCTTTGATCAGTTTAAGGAATGTCCCATCTATTCCAATTTTCTTCAGTGTTTTATCAAAAAGGATGGTGAATTCTGTCAAGTGCTTTTCTGCATTTATTGAGAGGATCATATGATCCTTGTTTTGACTTCTGTTTATGTTTTGACTTCTGTTTATGTGGTGAACTATATTTGCATATGGCAAACCAACCTTTCATTCCCGGGATGAAGCCTACCTGGTCATGATGAGTTATTTGTTTGATGTATAGCTGAATTCTTTTTGGTAATATTTATTATTTTTGCATCAATAATCATTAATGATACTGGTCTGTCTCTTCCTTGTTTGTTGTGTCCTTTCCTGGTTTTGGCATTTGCTTCATAGAAAGAGCAAATATCACCCTGTTGGAGGATTCCTTCCTTCTTAATGCTTTGAAATAGATTCTGCAATATAGGTAACAAGTTTTTATTTGAAGGTTTGGGAGAAGTCTAGTATGAAACCATCTGGTCCAATCTGTGTCGGAGGATTTTTTGTTTCAATTTTGGTACACATTATCAATCTATTCAAGAGTTCTATTTATTTTTCGTTCAGTCTAGGGAGGTAGTGTGATTATAGAAATTTATCCATTTCTTTTTTTTTTTTGTACAGACAGAGTCTCACTTTATCACCCTTGGTAGAGTGCCGTGGCATCACATGGCTCACAGCAACCTTCAACTCCTAGGCTAAGTGATTCTCTTGCCTCAGCCTCCCAAGTAGCTGGGACTACAGGTGCCTGCCACAATGTCCAGCTATATTTTTGGTTGCAGTTTGGCCAGGGCTGGGGTTTGAACCCACCACCCTCGGTATATGGGGCCGGCACCTTACTCACTGAGCCACGGGCACCACCTGAAATTTGTCCATTTCTTCCACACTTTCAAATTTCTGGGCATAGAGATTTTTGTAGTTTTCAGTGATGATCTGTTGTGTCCCTATGGTATTTGCTTTTTTATTTTCCCTCTTGCATTTCTGATTGAGATTATTAGAGAGTTACTTTTTCTGTTTCTGATTAATCTGGCCAAGGGTGTATCAATTTTATTTATCTTTTAGAAGAACCAGTGGTTCTTTTGTTCTTGATTTAATTTATTCCTAATCCAATTTTGTTTTTTTCCTTTCTTCTTCTGAGTTTGGAATTGGATTGCTTTTCATTTTACATTTCCTTGAAATGAATCATTAGACTGTTGATTTCTTTCTGATTTCCTTCCTCCTCCTCCTCCTTCTTCTTCTACAAAAGCCTTAATTTGTGGTTTATTTCATAATCCCAAACTGAATATCTGCTCTCTCTGAATCTGATTTCCTTTCTTCTTCTGAGTTTGGTATTGGATTGATTTCCCTTTTCCATTACCTTGAGATGAATCATTAGATTGTTGAGTTCTTTCTGATTTCTGGATGTGATCACTTAATGTGATAAATTTCACTCCTAGGACCACTTTTGGAGTATCCAACAGGTTTTGGGGGTTTGTGGCTTCATTGCCATTGTTCAAGGCATCTAATAATTTTCTTCTTTATCTCCTTCTTGACCCAGCTGTCATTCAGCAATAGTTTGTTTAGTTTCCATGGCTTTGTGTAGGGATGAGTGTTTCTGTTGGTACTGAGTTCTACTTTTATTCCACTGTGGTTCATAACTATACAAGGCATAATTTCCTTTTTTAAAAAGAATTTGTTGAGGCTCGATTTTTTTCCTAGGATATGTTTGATCTTGGAATATGATCAATGAACTGATAAGTAGAATGTACATTCAGTAGTATTGGGGTGAAATGTGTATTTCTATTAGCTCATTTGTTCTGGAGTGGTGTTGAAGTCCATTGTTTCTTTGGCTTCTACTCGGAGAATCTGTCTTGTTCTGTCAGTGGGATGTTGAAATCCCTGGCTATTACAGTGTTGTAGGTTATCATATTGTTCAGAACAACCACATAGGGGTTTTATAATGAATCTAGGAGCATTTATGCTTCATAGATATATATTTAGCACTGTGATGTGTTCCTTTTGTATGTTCCTTTGACTTTTGTTGCCTAAATTCACTTGTATTTGTAAAGATGATCACAATGCCTGCTTTCTTTTTGTTTCCATAGGCCAGAAATATTGTTTTCCAAATATTTATTATGGGTTTTGATTTGCCCTTAGCCATTAGATGTGTTTCCTGAGACAGCAAATGTTTGGCTTTTTTTTTTTCTATTTATCCTGCCTGTGCTTCTTCAGTGGGGAATTCAAGCCCTTCACTTTTTTTTTTTTTTTTTTTGAGACAGAGCCTCAAGCTGTCCCCCTGGGTAGAATGCCATGGCATTACAGCTCACAGCAACCTCCAACTCCTGGGCTCAAGCGAGTCTCTTGCCTCCGCCTCCCAAGTAGCTGGGACCACAGGCGCC